GAAACACAAGAGAGCCCGTTGTGTTACCGTGTCGTCAGGATTCGTGTCACTTCCCATTGTCTCTGACCGTCAGGGACGAACTGCGAGGATTCGCTCGCGACTGTTCCTCTCTCTCTCTTTTTTCTCTTTCTCTCTCTCTCTTTTCTCTTTCTCTCTTTTTTTCTTTCTCTCTCTCTTTTTCTCTTTCTTTTTCTCTCTCTCTTCTTCTTTCTGTCTCTCTTTTTTTCTTTCTCTCTCTCTCTTTTTCTCTTTCTTTTTCTCTCTCTCTTTCTTTTTCTCTCTCTTTTTCTCTTTCTCTCTCACTCTCTCGCTTCTCTTCCCGAACGACTCTTTCCCCGGGCGTCTTTCGTGTTATTTGACTTTCGGCGTAATTCAGAGACCTCGAACGTTAATGGACATAACCTCGAACGGTGACTAAACCGCCGGACTTTATACCTGTTAACGTCCTAATAATCGTCGCCCGTCGGTCGAGGGAAGTCGACGTCGTCGTTCGTCGAACACCCGTCGATTTACTTGTCCTTCTCTTTCTCTCTCTCTCTCACTCTCGGATAAAACGAAATTCACAAGAAAGGTTGTGAAACGTCGTCCGCGAGAACCGTGGACCGTCCGAAAACCACGCGAATTCGTCGGTCGTCGAATGGGATCGAACGGTATCTCGCCCCAAGGCCGATGATTCATCGAGAAATCTCATCCGACGTCGCCGAACAGAGGGAACGACAACAGCGATCCTCTCTCTGTCGCGGGTTTCTCAAGCGTCGTTCGCGAACGATAAAAATCAACCGGCACAATGACTGCGAGGGGCGGTTGGTACGTTGCATTATTATTGTATCGGGTGGGCGCGCGTTAGGCTCGTCGCGTGAAATATGGCCGAGGCGACGCGGGCGCGTCACGCCCTCGCGGCGAAATCAACTTTATTTATTCGTTTCGCGAGCGCGTTCTTCTCTTTCACATGGATCGCTCCGCTCCGCGTTCGCCGTTCTCGCGAGCCGAGAACACCATAGAGCGACGAAACCGTCTCGTGTCCCCTCTTCCCAAATTGTCCGTGCGATGTCTCCCTAATCGACGCTCGGATTGTGCACAAAAATGGACGATTTGGGAAGAGGAGATGCGACTGTTCGAGCCTTGCGGTTTATTTTTATGGTTATAAATTTATCCACAATTATAAAAACGAGTCGCGGGGCTCGAATAATCGTGTCCCCTCTTCTCAAATCGTCCAGTGATCGAGGACGAGGAGTGGACCCGTCGATGATTTTAAACGCAATTAACCCTTTTAGTGCCGGAGGCCGATATATCGGCCCGCACCTTGTAGCGTTGCAAGTAAATAAATACGTTAATAAATAGTCTAATTTCATTACGATATAAAAATTCGCGTCACCGTTTTATTCTCTATTTTGTCCTTGATACACTGCTTTCTGAATTATGTAAATATTGCTTCTCGTTTGGTTTTTACGAGCCTTCTTCCAAATCCTGGTAAAATCGTAAAATTCGGCCGGTCATCCTCGCATAAGCACCGCTTTTTCGCCCGGCACTGAAAGGGTTAAGAGATCAATCGGTGCACGGCGTGTTCGAATAGAAAAATAAATTTGGGAAGAGATGCGATTGTTCGAGCCTTGCGGTTTATTTGTTATAATTATAAATTTATCCACAATTATAAAAACGAGCCGCGAGGCTCGAATAATCGTGTCCCCTCTTCCCAAATTGTCCATGCGTCAGTAAGGGAGACATTACTGTAATTCCCGGCACAGTGGCGCGAGACGGTTCCCGACGGACAAAACGGCAGCGAGAATATACGACTTTCAAAAAAACCGGAATAGCTTCGACATAACCTACACCACCCCTTATAAACGAAACCGATGAATTTTTCCCGCGGTTCCCGCGGCGAGTCGATCGAGTCAGACAGGTTCAGTTTTATCAGAGATGCATCGTTTATTTCTCAAGTAGTATATATCTCCTGGGAGAGAGCGGAGACAATGCCGCGTGTCCACCCGTCTCCCAGCAACGGTACAAAAGGTAAACAGTGGCGTTGTTTTCGTAACGATTACTTGTTTAATAATAAAAAAAAGAAAAACAAAGAAAGAGTACAGGATTCGGGAGATGATGATGGGGAGTGGGGGGAGGGCGGAGAGGAGGCGTAGAGGGAAAGGTCAGGGGTCGATGATCGGTCGTGAACGAATCCTCGCGAGCTCAGACCGTTCGTGTCGTTCAAAACACACGGAGGAACGTCCCTCGATGAGGATGCACAGGTACTTTGTCTCGCGATGCGTTTGAATAAATATTATGCGCTATTTACAAAGCGATGAGAGAACGCGTCCGCGTGACGCGCACGCGCGCTTGTGTGTATGCGTGTGAATGACGTATTGCTTTTCTTTTTTTTCTTTCGCTCCGCGGTCGACTTCGTCTCTCGTTTTCTTCCGAGATAAAAACGACGGTCTCGACGATCGAGAATCGAATATGCGCGCGGCGGTGTGTGTGTGTGTCGGCCACGGGCGCGCATCGGCGCGGTTCTTCCCTCCGTAACGTCGCGAGGATTTCTCCGATTGATCTCGCCGCGTCGCGACGATACGGAGGGGGGAGAACGGGGGAAACGCTGGCGGGCTTTACAATTGATTTTCCAGGTCAGCGGGACCAGGGACACGCGTCGATTGTACGACAGCGGTCAAAATGGCGGACGGTTTTTCGCGTCGCGTCGCAGCTTACGCGCGCGATTGACGATTATTGCGCGCCGCGGATTACGCGCGGGAACGCTTGCAGTCGTGCCGATCAACAACGATTTCAACCCGTTCGCTGCCGCGTCGCGTCTCCTATTATTACAGCCGGCCAGCCTCGAAGCAACTTCTGTTTTTCGAGGAAACTGGAACATCGAATATAAATCGGCTCACGCTATAAATCCTAGCAAAATTAAGTCTGTTCGTTGAATACGTCGACGACGTAAAACTGTCCCGAGATTTGATCGAAGAGTTAGAGCGTTGTTGCATACGTGATATGCACACCGACGCGGCAGCGAACGTGTTAATCCGTTTGACAAACTGATAATCATGATTCGCATCGGTCGAGAAACGGTCACACGGTGGTCCGGAAACGTTCTTCTGTCGGAAATGTCTTCTGCACCGGTGGTGTCCGACAATTTTCGTTGCACACACACACACACACACACACACGCACGCACACACACACACAAACACAAAATTCATACAAACGATACGATTTACAATTTTTGCGCAAGCGTACTCGATACCTCGGACAGAGCACCAACGTCGAATATCCGACTTTTCTCTATATAATACAATGATCAAAGATTCGATGCGTCACGGAGAGCCGCTGTTTTTCGGAGCAATTTTAACATTATTAACCGGCGCAGAACATTGTACGTCGTCGGAAGGGGCGCAACGGTTTACAAACATTTCGGTTTCGGCGCGATCGACGGCGGCGGCACGGGAACGATAAGAGATACGGTAATGTCTCTCTAATTGACGCCAAGATTCGCCACAAAAATTGACGATTTGGGAAGAGGAGATACGATTGTTTGAGCTTTGCGGTTTATTTTTGAAGTTATAAATAAAACGAGCTTCAAAGCTCGAACAATCGTGTCCCCTCTTCCCAAATTGTCCATGCGTCAGTAAGGGAGACATTACTGTACCGGGAATTACTCTAATTGACGCCAAGATTCGCCACAAAAATGGACAATTTGGGAAGAGGAGATACGATTATTCGAGCTTTGCGGTTTATTTTTGTAGTTATAAATTGTCCATAATTATAAAAACGAGCTTTAAGGCTCGAATAATCGTGTCCCCTCTTCGCAAATTGTCCATGCGTCAGTAAGGGAGACATTACTGTACCGGGAATTACTCTAATTGACGCTCAGATTTACCACAAAAATGGACGATTTGGGAATAGAAGATACGATTATTCGAGGCTTGCGGTTTATTTTTATAGTTATAAATTGTTCACAATTATGAAAACGAGCAGCGAGGCTCGAATAATCGTGTCCCCTCTTTGCAAATTGTCAATGCGTCAGTATGGGAGACATTACTGTAATTCCCGGTACAGTAATGTCTCTCTAATTGACGCCAAGATTCGCCACAAAAATGGACGATTTGGGAATAGAAGATACGATTATTCGAGCCTTGCGATTTATTTTTGTAGTTCCAAATTCTCCACAATTATAAAAACGAGCTTTAAGTCTCGAATAATCGTGTCCCCTTTTCTAAAATTCTCCATGCGTCAGTAAGGGAGACATTACTGTAATTCCCGGTACAGTGATGTCTCCCTTACTGACGCTAAAATTGTGCACAAAAATGGACGATTTCGGAATAAAAGATACGATTATTCGAGCCTTGCAGCTCGTTTTTATAGTTGTCGACAATTCGTAACTATAAAAAGAAACCGCAAGGCTCGGATAATCGTGTCTCCTCTACCCAAATTATCCACTTTAGCGTGGATAATTGAGCGTCAGTAAGGGAGACAATCTGAGCGTCGGTAAGGGAGACATTGCCGTACGTCGAAAAATTTCCCGATCCCGGACCATTCCGCGCTGCTAATTTCGTCCGAGAGGACGCGCGTGGAATCACGGATCGCGTTATCGCGCCGCGAGCCGAAATCGGACGCCCGGTTTCTCAGGCCCGGAGGCCTTGTCCACGTCCGAAGGATGATTTATACGGCGGGACACGTACAGATTCGTCGATCTATTCCGTGGAGTGACGGTGTCGAACGTTGCTCGTCACGTTCCCGGAGACGGGGATCGCCGTGGAGAATAAGTGGAACGGGGTCGGACGAGAGGAAAAAAGAAAAAGAAAAAAAGCATCCCCATGGGGGAAGCAGCGATCGGGCGATCGGGCAGTGGAAATTAAGACTATCGAAGATTTCTCTGAATCGTCTGGACCAATCGTATTCCTTGTTCTGCCGGAAGGATCGAGGGGACGAACAGAGGCTTCGTGGCTGATCAGAGTTGTAAAAGACTCTGCGCGCGGTTGGGGGACTTTGATGATATACGACTGCGGATCTTCATGCAAAATACCACGACGCTTGTATTGCTTTATTTTTACAATGATTGAAGTAACAAGGGTGCTTCCATGGGAAATGATCCTAATATAGATATCTTCGTTCGAGCATAACGTAAGAAATGAAGATCTCGAGAAATATAAATAAATTCAGTCTTATCGTTTTTTTACAAGGTAAATCGTTACCGTTAAAACACCTCCCCGGGGGTTCAGCGTCGATAATATTAACAAGTCGAGTAACGCGCATCGATGTCGTTCGATCTATCACCTGCTTTCGAATCGCGTCTGCTCGGCTTCTGCCGCGAATGCACGATCAAATCCGCAGTACATGATTTTTCGGGAATGGAAAGACGTCGCCGTTTACGAGAAAAGAATAGAGAAATAGTTGAGAACGAGAGATTAGAATATGGACACGCGAGGGTGTATCGAACGGAGGAAACAAGATGGCGGAGTCGGTATCGTGGCAGATCGCGGTGTCAATTTTTGCCTGCCGCGACTGTGCTACGGCAGTATTTGTTTCGTCGAGTGAACGACGTCGTTTTCGTAAAGGCTGTCTTTCCTCTCGAGCGATCGGGGACATGCGGGGACAGAGCTAAGGGGAAACTGGATCTTTTTTTAACAAGCGGTCAGCCATCTTTAATCGGGAACTGCGACGAACGCCGTTCGTAACGCTAGAACGACCGAAGCCAACGAAACGACGGACGTTAGTTCTTCAATTTTCGAGATTGTAAAAGTGGCGTTTGCGAGCAACGACTGGATATATCTATTCATAGATACGGTCTCTTGTTATTTTCAAAAGGCAATGCAAAGCACGGAGGAACCTCGATCACGCGAACCCATCAGGATTCTCTGCTATCCAGGGATCTGTTGTCCGAATATTCGCATTCTCCTGATCGGTTCGGATAACCGAGGTCCTGGCCCGCGTTCAGTGCTCGGTCGTTCTAGCGTCGATTCTCCGCCGATCGGACCGCCACACCGGCGACTTTCTGTTCGCCTCGTCTGATTTCTTCCACCTCGCTACAAGTATAAGTCACAATAACCGCCGTCGAATGAACAAACGAACAATCGTCGCAAACCAACGCGTTTTCGTCCGATACTAAAAAAAACGGAGATTCTTCGGTAAAAAGGAAAAAAAGAAAAAAAAGGGGGAGAAAAGAAGATCGTTTTGCAATAAAATCGTGACATCGAGAGGTTTTGCGCCACCGAGGACAGAACTTCGAGGCTTCGTAAAACACATAAAAATACATCGCGCACGTCCGTGCGCGTAATTTCTCGCGGGAACTAATTATTATTATACAGAGACGAAGAATCGGCGTTGATAAAAAAAAAAAGAAAAGAAAAACTGTGAAAGAAATCGTCGAGAACTGCGAGCGTGAAACAACAGAAAATTGGTCCCTCGAATCGATTCGGGGGGCCGGTCCTGCCCCTGTTCCCGCGGCGTTATCCTGCACACACGTTCGAGCGAGACGCACCTTTCTCCACGACGAGGACGAGGGGAAACGGTCGCGCGTATGCGGAGAGACTGAGCTTTTATATGAACGGTCGTATATGAGCGTGTGAGCGTGTTACGCGATTTAATGTCCTACGAGTTGATCTGTGTGCGAGCGTCGAGAGTCGACGGAAGCGCGAGCGTCCCCGACGAGACTCCGAGATCGCGAGCGATCGCGATCGAGAACGATCGCGGGCGCGCGCGGCCGCGCCCCTGTAAGTTTCTTTTTTTTCTGTATATGTAATGTATCACAGACTGCACTTGGAACTGAACACTGACGGAAGAGTTGCGCGCGGTGTCCGTTCTCGTTAGCACCTTTTTTTTCTGTCGGCTTGGAGGCTGCGAGCCGAGGAGCACAGGACAAAGAACCAGAAGGAGAAGACGAAGAAGAAGAAGAAGAAGAAGAAGAAGAGGGATGGGCGCTAACGAGGGGACCGTGGTGCAACGAGACCTCGTGGACCGCGCACCAAGCAAGGAGGATGCTCTGGGCCTCCCGACAGTTCGTTCACTGTATTTTCGCTCTCGTTACCAAGCGGCACCCATCAATGTCTCTCTCTCTTTCTCATTCTGTTTGTCCGTTTCTCCCGTGTCCGCGGTTCTACGAGAGATCGTGCCGCAGTTTCCTCAGCATGAGATCAACGGCGATCCTGGCGTCCTCGACGGAGTCGTGCTCGGTGGTCTGTATCTCCCTCCTGAGCACCGCCCTCGCGAGGCTCTTCAGGCTGCTGCGGAACGGGTAACCGAGGTAGTGCGGGAACGCGACGCACGTGTCGATCACGGTCGTGTGGACCAGCTTGAGGGCCCTGAGGTCGTTGTTGAGCGCGTGGCCGATCACTATCGTCTCCGCGTGTACGAAGCTGGTTATGTCCTCCTGCACGTCCCTGAGCCTCTTCGACGCTCTGGACAGGTCCTCGGCGGTGATCCCGCTGAATCTCGTGTTGTAGTCGATCACTTCCGCGTCCGGTCTCACCAGGGTGTCGTAGACCACCTCGCCGTCCATGCTGACCACCGTGACCTTCGCGAGCTCGAGGCCGCGCCGCGTGAAGCACATCTCGCAGTCGAGCGCGTACACGCCGTAGTTCCCGTCGCTGGGAACGGTCATGGCGGGCTGGGTGCGAACGTAGTCCTCGAAGGGACCGTTGTAGCCGGGTTCCAAACCGGTCCACACGTGCATACTGGCGATGGTGCAGCCCCTGGACGTCTCCCTGCCCTGGCAGCACTCCCAGGTGTTGCTGTACGAGCCGTCGACCATGCCGCCCCGGAATTTGCCCCAATGATAGAAGCATCGCTCCTCCTGCAGGTACTCGCCGTTCTTCCGGTTCACGTAGAAGTTCTTGTAACACCTGGCGCACTTCCTCTCGCCGACGACCAGCTCGTACGAATGCGGCGTCCAGTCTCTTCTGGACTTCTCCTGGTATTGGTAGCTGGACCCGGAGGAGGAGGACGACGACGAGGACGACGACGACGAGTCCGTCGAGGAGGAAGACGATGATTCGCCGATGTCGGAGCTCTTGTCGCTGTCCGACGCGCTCTCCTGCTCCAGGTCGGAGCTCTCCACGGAACTGCCGCTGCAGTTCCCGCTGTCCGCTTCGCTCTCCATGGTCCAGGACGTGGTGCCGCTTCCCGGCACGAATTCGCGCGCGTTCGCGTCCAAATGGTGGTATCCCCTCGCCGGGAAACCCACCGACGGGTGAAGGTGATTAATGATCACCGTGGATCCCGGATAGAAGCTGCACTCGAACGGGTAGCCGAAGTGTGCCAGATCCTCCCCGGTGAGCGTGTACCCGCGCAGCAGAGACGCCAGGGAAGCGTCGCTAAGGTGATGCAGCTCTTTCCTCTGACTGCTGTGGTACATGCAGGCGTTCCAGATCGCCGACCCGTCGCCGCCGTGCTTCTTGTCCTCGCGGCGCGAGTCCTGCGCGTTCTGCGACTGATGATGATTCCTCGAGCTCCTCGCGCCGGTCGCCGCGCCTCTCGCCGACGCCGACGAGCCTTCCGAGGACTCCAGGCTCCTCGTCGAGCCGTTAGGATAATGCTCCTGCCGGCAGTGGTGATGTCTGCGCAGCCGTTGCTGCTGTTGCTGCTCCTGGTGGCTCGGCTGCTCGTCCTCGTGCTCGTCGTCGCGCTCCCGGCGCTGATCGCGGGGCGCTCTCGTGCGGTTCTTGCGCTGCCTTCTGCTCAGGATCGCTCGATCCTCTTTCGTCGAGGAGGAGCTGCTGCCCCCCGACGAAGCTCCGCCGCTGCCGCAGGCTGTCGAGGACGTCGATGAAGCTGTCGAGGCCGACGACGACGACGCCGCGGACTTGCTCTTGCTACCCGGAGACGGTGACGGCGACGGCGATGATGACTTCGTCGACGACGGCGTCTCGCCGCTGCTCACCACCTTACACTCGACGTACCGATCGGTCTCCCCATGGTCCAGGAACTCCTCTTCCGGCCGCAGGCCGCAATCTTTATGTCACATAGAAAAACATATATACGTCAGTTCATCGTCCAGGCAGCGGGTGACTTACTATCGCGACACCTACGTTATACAAGTATACTCTTGTTAGAGGGTTGTGTTCTTTCTTTCTTTCTTTTTTTTTTCGTTCCGGATTTCCACACCACACGTGCATGCATCTCCGTCTTATCTCCTTCAGGCTTTCCCGCGATCATTCCTTTCTACGACGATCGAGTTTATCGAAGGCGGAGGGGTGGGGAGGGAAGGGTGTGTGTATGTGTGTGTGTGTGTGTGTGTGGTCATCGCGTCTCTCCGGTTACCGATTGTCGCGGCGTCGCGTGACACAACAGTTTACAGGATGTCCCAAAAATGTCTCGCCATCCGGAAATGGCGGATGCCTCGGATCATTCGAAGCAACTTCTTCCTTTACAAAAATGTTCTCCGAGGCACCGTTAACGAGTTATCAACAAAAAAACAGTGACCAATAAGAATCGAGTACGGCTGACGCGAGGCGGCCCGGCCAACCGACGCGCGAAGCCCAGTTCCGCTCGCCTCTCATTGGTCACTGTTTTTCGTTAATAACTCGTTAACGGTGCCTCGGAGAACATTTTTGTAAAGGAAAAAGTTGCTTCAAATGATCCGAAGAACCCGCCACTTTAGGATTGCGAGACATTTTTGGGACACCCTGTATATACAGACAGAATATACAGCATCGGACTCTGTACAGTACACATCAGACTCTGCCGTCCAGAGAAATAGCCTCGCGCAGAATTCAGCCGTACCTAAAATGTTAAGAGAAACGCGCGACGCTAACGAGGGAAAACTTCGCTCGCGATAGAAACTTCTCTCGATGACTCGCGATAGAAGTTTTGTTGCGGCTTGAAGAACCGACGACGACGTCTGGTGTGGGTGATACTTTCTTACGCGATTTTATTTATACAGCCGGTGAGTCATACAAGTTGGCCGGGTCTGCCACGTTAACGATATTCCAAAGCGGCGAGGGAACAAGGTGAATGGCTCCGCGCTATCATCGTTCTCCAGGGATCTTTTCGTCGCTCGAAAGTGTATGCAGTATAATCGCGAACGAAACACGTTTCTTTGCTGCCTAAGCGAGTACGATTGTTTTGCTTCGTTTAGCCTCGTTAAAGGATTATGTATTCTGGTCTAGAGCGTTGTTTGTTCTTTTAGGTCTTCTTTGGGATTTGTTTACGAGAAAACAGAGGAATACTTCTCGCAGGCGGAAGTATACAGGGTATCCCGAAAATGTCTCGTAATCCGGAAATGGGAGATTCCTGAGGTCATTTGAAGCAACTTTTTCCTTTGCGAAAATGTTCTCCGAGGCACCGTTAACGAGTTATCAACGAAACAACAGTGACCAATAAGAATCGAGTATGGCTGACGCGAGGCGGCCCGGCCAACCAACACACGTAGCCCAGTTCCGCTCGTTGGCTCGGTCGCCACGCGCCAGCCGAGCTCGCCTCTCATTGGTCACTGTTTTTCGTTAATAACTCGTTAACGGTACCACGGAGAAGATTTTCGTAAAGGAGAAAGTTGCTTCAAATGATCCGAGGAATCCGTCATTTCCGGATTGCGAGACATTTTTGGGACACAGATTCCAAACTGCTCTGCCAATCGGTGGAAAAGAAAAGAATTACGCGGCTTTGGACTAATAAAAGGATGAATCAAATATCTCGTTAATTAACCAAAAAAGCAGCGCCTGAGTACCTTCTTTTCTCGCCTCTGGCGTAGACAAATATTAGCAAATATTATCCAGGATTTATTGACAATTACGCGATAACGAGGAGTCTACATAAGATTGCGTCCAAATTTGAAGTAAATCGAATAAACAGATCTGTGAGACATTGTGTCGAAACTTGAAGCCGATCGAGCAAATACATCCAGTGTCAACCGTCTTGGAAAGTATTGTTTCCCTTGCCAGAGTGTGACCTCCTTATTCTTGCGAATTTAAAAAAAAGAAAGATCTGCTTCCGTAAACATGTTTTCAAGACCGCAACGCTTCAAAGAGAAACAATAATAAGGAGAAGATCGATCTTACGAAACTTCTAGACCAGAATGTACCTCCTTAAGCCGCTTGGTTCCGTTCGGTTCGCACCCGCCCGTACCGCATAGCCGTGCACGTGTGTGTACGTAATTGTGGTACGCAACGACGATGCGATACGAGGACGATACGAACAGATACACAGCATCGCAAGCTGCGCCGGTGTACATCTCTGCACCGGAACGTTCCGAACGTTCGATCCGAAATGGCTTGCCGTTAATAAAAAAAGAAAAAAAAAGAAGAAAAAACGATGTCAGGAGGTATAGCGCGAGCTTTGAGAAAACGTGGCCCGAAGGTCTCGGGACTGCGGTTACAGCGGCTGCAACGACTGATGCACCGCGAGAGAGACCCACGGTCGCATCGATCCGAGCCGCTCTTGACCCAGAGACCGCCATATTTCCGCCTTGAACCGGTGCCCTAGCCACGCGACCACGCTTGGTACCAATCCAGCGGGAACGGTCCCGATCGCTTTTCGAAATTATTGACAACGCAGAACACGCTGCGCTCTTCGCCGTTCGGGTCGCTTCGTCGCTTTAACCTTTTAGGCACGACGCGCCACTATAGTGGCTTTCGCGGATGTCATCTCTCTGGACGACGCGCCACTATAGTGGCTTGCTCCAATAGCTCACTCGCTCATCGTTCGAACCAAATAATCGTCTTCTTATGCATTGTTTCACACTTCTTTTGTCTTCGCATCGATTTACAACAGTCCACAGGGTGTCCCAAAAATGTCTCGCAATCAGGAAATGGCGGGTTCCTCGGATCATTCGAAGCAACTTCTTCCTTTACAAAAATGTTCTCCGAGGCACCGTTAACGAGTTATCAACGAAAAACAGTGACCAATAAGAATCGAGTACGGCTGACGCGAGGCGGCCCGGCCAACCAGCGCGCGAAGCCCAGTTCCGCTCATTGGCTCGATCGCCTCGCGCCAGCCGAGCTCGCCTCTCATTGGTCACTGTTTTTCGTTGATAACTCGTTAACGGTGCCTCGGAGAACATTTTTGTAAAGGAAAAAGTTGCTTCGAATGGCCCGAGGAACCCGCCACTTTCGGGTTGCGAGACATTTTTGGGACACCCTGTATATACAGTATCAGACTCTGTACAGTACACATCAGACTCTGCCGTCCAGAGAAATAGCCTCGCGCAGAATTCAGCCGTACCTAAAAGGTTAAGTGCGCTGCGCTATCGATTACCGAACGCTATTTCCCGTCGGGATCTAACGTCGCTGAACAGAACCGGAAGAAAGCGAAGGAGAGAGAGAGTGCGAACGAGAGAGAAAGAGAGAGAGCGCTGCTGCGTGGGTCATTCGATTCGAAAAATAAATAAATAAACAACGTGGAAAGTGAAAGCCTGCCACGGACGTATGAATCAACGTATACGAGCTTCTGTCTGCGTACAACAGGATTCATAATGTCAACGCATTATCCGCATCACGGACCACGGGGTGAACGTGTTTAACTTTCTTCCCAGCGGTGAACGGGAAACGAGAAGGATATAATTTCCCGATTTCCTTCGGTCCTACAGGGTGCTCCAATTTTTAGTGTCTCCTTCGCATTATGGTACCGTCGTCGATAACATTTATCATTAGAACAGAGTTTCGTTTACTCGACGCGCGTGCACAGAAGAGAAACTGAACCGTGGATTTATTATAGGGTGGAATTAACCCTTTGCGGTCGAAGCTATTCGAATTCGAAATCCGAAACATGATTTCTGATCTACTGTAGTTCTATTTTATATAATTTATTGCGACTTATGCACATGAAATTGAGCCTGTTGACAAGTACAATGCAATTGTAATAGTTTCCTTTCAAGTAGAAACGAGTCCGATGCTCTTAGAATGAGATTTTGAAAAATGGTACACCAATTTTTAGTGGCGCCTCAGAGTCGCCATTCGAGTGCAAAGGGTTAAAAAAAGGAAGCATATAAAATCGCGCGTTACGAAAGCCAAATATACATATAAAACGACTCGGCCGGGCCAACGAGAGCCGTTTGTTTAACGCTACTAGCTTGTGCAACTTTCGCCAGACGCACGGCGAAGGGTCGCTTTCTTTTCTGTCGCGTGTCGCGGCGGCGCCGCGCGGTGGTCCGAGACAAGCTGGATAATTGTGGCAAAAATACAATGTTTTTTTTTCGTGTCCGGACAAATTTTTCCTTGCTACGTTCAAATTTCAGCTTTCGCACGATGGTTGAAATTCTCGGGAAGAAAATTGCATTTATTTCAAGCGTGCGCTGCTACCGTTGGCAACTTTTACGTTTGTGCTGCGATCTCTTCTCAACAAATCGTCGATCGTCCGAGGTTTTAACGGCCGTGTGCCGCATTCGACGCCCGTCGCCGAACGCTCGTGTCGAATTTCAAAACAAACAGCACGGTTTTTTCGGATTGCTCGCTTCGAACAGAAGTTGGCCGGTGTTCACTTTTTTCCACGAATCTCAGAATATTAAAAACTTGCGAAAATATTTTTATCTTCTTCTCGCATTCTGGTAATACATCCCGATATCTTAAATCGTTGATACATACAGTATATGTCTCCCTTACCGACGCTTAAATTGTCCACTAAAATGCATAATTTGGGAAAAGGAGATACGATTATTCGAGCCTCGCGGCTCGTTTTTATAATTGTGGATAAATTTATAACCGTAAAAATGAACCGCAAGGATCGAATAATCGTATCTCCTCTTCCCAAATTATCCATTTTAGCGTGGATAATTGAGCGTCAGTAAGGGAGACAATCTAAGCGTCAATTAGGGGGACTTCACTGTACAGTATATGTCCCTTACCGACGCTCAAATTGTCCACTAAAATGCATAATTTGCGAAGAGGAGATACGATTATTCGAGCCTCGCGGCTCGTTTTTATAATTGTGGATAAATTTATAACCATAAAAATGAACCGCAAGGATCGAACAATCGTATCCCCTCTCCCCAAATTGTCCATTTTTGTAACCAATCTGGG